TTTAAAAAAAAATAAAGAAAAGGTACATTCAGATATACTGATAAAAAAAGAGAGAGAGAACCCTATAAGTAACTGACTACAAGTTGATTTCATTGTCGAAATGATAATATAATGAGTAGTTAAATAAATAACAACGTGAAAAGAAAAATTATGTGAAGAAGAACATGTATATATTATACAAGTATGTATACACCTTGAAAAAAAAGCAAAAAGACGGAACTGGTCAATATACGTAGAGACACATTCTTTTTTTTTTTTCTCTTCAAAAAAAAACTTGTTGTCTGTTTACATAAATATACAAAAAGTTTTATTATGATGATAGACAAAAGAAGGTTAGTGGTACGCTATTAAATTTTGTTTTATAGAATAGAACTGCATAAGTTGGTGTAGTGTTCGTCTTACGAGAAACTTTATTGTTTGAATTAGTTAAATTGATCTTTTTTTTTTTGTTTTTAGTACATTGTTGAATTCTTATTCAGTGTACGCCATGTATACGGATTTCCGGAATAGAAAGAAAAAAAATTGATTGAATCTTTGTCTTTGAAGTGAAATGTTTTCTGTTTGCTTTTATACTATAGTTTAGTAAATGAATAAAATAGAACACATAATAGTGTACATATTTTTTGAAAATTTTTTTTCACTCTATCCAAATTTACAGATCACATAGATTTCTAAAAAAATACCTACACTTCGATTTGGTTTATAATTTAACTTTGGATCACTTTTATTAGAATGACATATGCATATGATAATATTGTTAAATATTTAACATTGCACAGAAGAAAGATCATACTTCAATTAGTCATATTTACCAATGTTGAATTAAGAGAGTTGATCGATATCTATGAATATCAATTAATATTAACCATTTTTGTAAACTCAAAATTGCTCCATTATGTCTTGTTTTCAAAATCTTCTATAGCTCTCGAGAAAAATATGAATTCTAAAATGAGATATAAACTAAATTATAGTTGAGATATTTCTTTAGAAAACTATGTGATTTGTGAATTTAGTTAACATTGCTGTCAACAAATGTAATAGATTAAACACTGGATTTTTGTTTTAATACTAAAAAAAATATAATTTAACAAACATCTTGTGGTGACAGGTAAAACCGTAGAACGTTCGATTTTACTATACACCCCACAATATATTTCATTCAAGTCACACTTGGGGATGTGCAAGATCAACCTTTTCTAGTCCTGGTTATGAATTTATTTTTTGTTTCGGTCTTTCATATATCTATACTGTATCTCTGCTCTATTAATTTCCTGTCATTTCTTGTATGTTCTTATCCAATCCAAGTGTTAACTTTATGCTGTTCTTTGTTTTGTTGCGTGTTCTCTCTTTTTGTTCTGTAGATCCCGTTGATGTCAGTAAGAGAAAACGAATATTCAAAATTTGTTCATATATATAGATTATAGATATATCTCCAGTGCTATAGTCTGTGCACGTTGTTTGTTTTTCTCCCTAATGTATACCGCTTCTGAACTGATCTCTGTTTTTTAACGTATTTTCAGACATAGACTATATATAGTGAGTGATTCTTTGTTATATAGCGAGAAAAGGAAAGAAAAAGGACAGTGACACAATACAATAAATATAGCGCATATAAAATGTATATTGACTTGTCTTCTATAATTTTAAAAATATTCTGTCGTTATTAAGCAGACCGTTTTTGCGTATGATAGAGCACGTTTTTGTTGAGACTATTTGAGATAGTTATTAATATCTACATTAATACAACAGGTAAGCTATACAGTTGTTTAATAATCTTAATCTAAACTTCTTGATTTTGATTAGAATAATCAATCATAGATGACTTCCTCTTGAGATATATGTAGTCAAAACTCAACAGACAAACGGTTACGTCATTCTCATCAACGTTAAAATTTGATAAAATTACTGTACAAAGACATTCTAATGAAATGAAAATCATGATGTAGCTTCCCACTATCTTTAACGTTTTTTGTATCGTATATGAATTTTTTAGTGAATATCATTTGTCTTTAGACAGAGTTCTCCTGATGCCTTCTTGGAGCACAAAATGTTGTGTCTAATTAGTATTAGATGAGATGTAATGCGGAGAATTATTTTATGTTTTTTTTTCTTCTTTTGATTGAATTCAAACAGTTTTCTTCTCGATACAGTAACAAAAAAAAAAAACAGAACAAAAACAAAGTTGCATTTTTTTTTCTTTGTATTTACTCTCTATTGTTTTCCCACCGTCCTCGTCCCATTTTATTATTTGTACGCATTTCAAAGCAATACATCATTTCCGTGTACTTTTCTATTCTAAACCCCTTTGCATCGTCTACTTTGTGCAAATGAAGAAGATAATTTGAATTCATTTTTTTGAACACATTTTTTTTCTATACACGAATATAATAAAGAAAAGAGAGAAGAACTCATCAAATTTCTTCAGTATGCAACATACAATAGAGTTTAGCCGAGAGATGCCATGATGGTTGAAACTATATGGTGAGAAAGAGAGAATAAGAAAACCTTGGAAAGTTGCACATAGAGAGAGCAAAATTATACACGCGATGTGCACAGGAGTAACAACCAAAAAAAAAAAGAATGAGCTGGTTTTTCTTCTTGTTCAATTTTTTTGTTGTATTTTAAAAAACTATGGTCTTTCGAAAATGCATTTCCTTTAGTTTCTTTTTCTTTCTTTTGCTTTTCTCTATGTGTATGTTATTACGTACATCGGGACTGGAATATTATGTATATATTTTAATGGGAAGAAAAAAATAAAACTGAAAAACTGTTCTGTTCACGACTGTGACGTGAAACATCAGCAATAGAACTAGCCAAATAAAGAACAAGTTCCTTTTACCCCTGATGTATGTGTGCGTGTGTGTGTTCATATCTATATGTATCATCGGATTTTCCGTTAAAAAGAATTTCTTTTTGTATGTATGTATGATGTGGAAAAAAAAACGTAAAAAGGAACAAAAAAATAATAATACAGAGAACGGGACTACTGAACAACATCATAAAAAAAACCTAAAGGATTTTTACGTTGAAAACATTTTTTTTTTTATCTATTGTCGTGAACATATTTCCAAGAATACAACAGACTGCTGTGCATTTTTTTCCTATCTTTTCATCCGACGCGTACGTGCACAAAAGAAAAAAATATTATACAGGTACGATACTTATTGATATAGAGAAAAAAAATCTTTTTTTCCTTATGAACATCAAGTATTCCACTTTATGCTTATTAAAAATGAGGAATTTTGATTACTTTAGTAAAAATACTGGTAGATATACTGACCCAAAATCTTGATATAATTTTAATTTAAGCTAATGTTCGGTATGTTTATAATATTTTGAAAAATTTTAGTTAAAAGTCTTTTAGTTTAAGTCTTTGTATATTAGTAAAAAGTTAGCCCCATTCTTTCTTAATAGAAGATCGATATGTGCACATCGCAGTGTACTTCTGTCATATGCCTTGTACGTTAGAGCGTCACTTTTCGCTCTCAAATAAGTCGAAACTAACTTCATCCTTAGGCTGGTAGATGAAATTCTTGACATTTGAACTATTGTTTCAGATTGGAAAAGTAGTCTTTCATTCTCAAAGAGCTTACAAATGCTAGGATGGTAATAAATTTGTTTTTACTCAAAAACATAAGTAGACATAAATATTGTTAGAACTGTATAAACGTCAACTTTTCATTAATTCAGCTCGAAAATGCCATTTAAGCACAAACAGATAGATGGATTATCCAAAATAACGAGCTTTTCAATTAAAAATACAAAGTTTCTTCCTCGCATGTTTTTTTTTTATCTTCTCTCATTAGGGTTCATTTGCATGCGATCGTGTGAATACAGTATTTCTTTTTGTGTTCTTATTGTGCTATATAGTTAAATGATGAACACATATACATTGACACACAGACTATATGTATGTCTAGTATTACATCATTAGTCTTCTGTGAATTGATTAGACGAACGAGTATGTGTGTGTGTGTGTGTGTGTGTGTGTGTGTGTAGTTCAACAGGAACTTGATTCTAACATATGAATCAGTAACAATGTAAATAAATCATGATAGCATCCACCGTATAGTTAATATATTGGAGTATGGAATCTATTATCACTGATGATGTCAAATATGTTTCTTATTCACTACATATAATTAAAGTTGAGTGCAATTAGTTTTTGGGAGAAAATCAATATAAACTTTCTATTTCTTTCCTTCCTTTTATTTTTATTTTTTATCACAGCTGTCTTCAAGTAGTAAGCAAGCAGTTTGCTTTTTTAAGAAACGAATGTTAAATTCGTGATTGACAACAACATAGAACTTAGTCGATAAGAGTATTAAATATAAGAGTACTAAATTATTACTATAGATGGAGTATGATAACAGAAAGGAAATACATTGATCTTCTTTCAGTAGTCCAAAAGTGCATGGCGGAGTAGATTCAATTCAGTTATCACTCTGCTCTTCGATGACTGCCTGCAGGCTCCTATGCTATGTGTAAATCAAGTAGCTAAACATAAATAATTTTCTTTTAAGTTCAAATAAGACTAACTCTTTCGGAAAATCAAATGAGTCTTTTCAAAAGTCGATAGTGACATGTTTCTATACACGGTTTCTGCATATAAAAAACAATAAATACCTGAAAATTATACAAGCATCCTTTTTTTATACAAGATTTTTTTGCTGTTTATTCCAAACAACATTTTGTAATTAAAATCTACAAAATGATATTTGACAGGAACCTCGTTTAAAACGACAAGAGATAAGAATCTTAGTAGAAAAATAAGATTGTTGTCTAGTGAGAGTACTTTCTCAATTATCTAACGATAAATAAAATAAGAAGACTATGACTTTGTGCAAATTATGCTATAGAACAAGAGTTCTGTACTTATGCTGTTTAGAGTCAGAACACTTATATTTCAGAGGAATATTATTCTAACAGCTTTTTTGTTCTATTTTACCCATTAAACACATAACTTTTGATGTTTTTTTGTTTTTGTTCCAGAATCTGTGATGTCCACAATATCGAATATAAAAGATCGTTGTCGGTTATGTTATACATTATTAAAAGACACATTTCATTATAAACTTTGTACACATCATTTCTACAATATTTATACATTACGCGATCTAATACCAACAGCATCATCACCACTACTACCCACTTTTTCATCATATCATCCTCTTCACCACTGGCACTCTTCAACGAATCCATTATCGTGTAAAATTCGTTATCGTGATTTGATTGTACAATATTTATGTATTCAATTGCCGGATGATATCGAAAATGATCAGTATTCACACATTATTTGTTATTCATGTTCTGATTTATTAAATAAGCTCTATTTAACGTACCAAACATTTTCAACTACACAAAAATTATTATGTTGCAAATATCGGAAGACACTGCAAATTGTTAATCAACAGCTTCATTATTACGAGCTCAAAGTATTAACAAAAAAATCCGTGTCAATAACAGCAAACATTGTGAAGAGAAAGCGTTCCTACTCAACATCTGACTTATTAGTCAAATCAAAACAAAACGAACAACGCTGTCGTACACAATCCGTATCATTAGCAAAAATAAGCAATTTTGAACCGCACGTTTTGTCTTGTAAAGAAAATTTAGATTCATCATCAATGGAATCAGTAATTTCAAGTGAAACAATCGTCACGGCAGCAGCACAAACAGAAGCCGCGACAGTGTCGACAACAACGCGTTCAAAACGAAAAAGCGCACCAAAACATATTCAATTAAGTAATAATACAAATAATGGAGCAAAAAGTCTACAACTGATCGTTAAAATGCCAACAACACTACTAAAAACGACACAAGAAAAAATGACGACAAGAAATTCACTATTTCAACAAAAGATATTGACATCATCAATATCAAAATATCGAACAAGTCCAAGAAAAAAACTACATTCAAATAGTGATAGTCATGATAACAGTACAAGTCAAAATAAAAAGAAGAAATTTAAAAAAACTTCAAAAAAAAGTTTTATTGTCGAACAGTTAGAGATAAAAAATGTTATTGCACAAGCAAACGAGTTAAGCCCATTATCTATGGTAAGTTTACATTAAATAATTAGGATTATAATTGTGTAAAATATCAATAACTGGTAGATTTGTGTAGCATGTCTTGTAATTGTCACATTCTATCTTAGTTTAGATTGTCTAATCCAATCTGTTTGTTTTTCTAAAATAAAAGCCAACGAAATTAGTGTAAGACTATCTTTGTTTTCTAGAAAACGAATGGTGAAGATAACAAGTCAAGTATTAATAATTATCGTTGTATTAATTTATTGAAAGAAACAGTGAAAAAGAATGATTTAGCTAATACTAGCAATTTGTTATTTAATGAGCACAACGATGTTCGAACACCAACAGCAAATACCACTGATTATTATGATAGATCATCGATATCAACAGTTCAATCACCTCTAAACTTATCTAATTCAACAATCACACTTACATCGGCCTCATCTTCCTGTTCATCTAGTCGTTTATTAAATTCATTCGTTGATCGTACAATGAAAGGCAATCAAATTGAAAGAATAGCTGCATTATTACTTCCGGTAAGTTATATTAGATGAGAGAGCAACTTTTAATTGAACACGTTCGTTTTTCATCTAGAATACAAATACACTTGATGGTGAATCGAACATAATGGGCGATGGAGGAACAGACAAAGATACGATACCGTCCAGTAAACAAACTCCATCAGTTGACATAGGAGATAATACACGTAAGTTGAATTATATTCTAATAATCTTTCATACATGAAATGAACGTTCGATAATACGTTAAAACTTTGAGAGCGATCAACTAACATATTACATTTTTAGTTTAAATTATCTGATTGGTAAGATTCAAGGTGTGTGTGCGTTTGACTGTGCATGTGGAAGTTGAGAGAACTTTTCTCTGTTTTTGCTTTATCCCTTGATAAAAGGAATGACAATTTTCTGTTGAACCAATTTAAGAATGTTTGAAGTGTGAATGCACGGTCCCTTATCCGCATGCTTATGTTGATTTATTCGTCAACAAAAGCCAAAAAATATAGCTAGCAAAAAAAGATATCTTAATTAACGTTAGTCCCAGCAACAGCTGCAGAACGGTACAGTTCATGATCGTACAATGTGTGAGATATGAAATACGAAGTTATTTGCTAATATTTTTTTCCTTGTTTAGCTTCAGTATCTTCCGCAACCTTGTTAGGCAATCCATCAAATCATATAAGAACACGTGGTCGACGTAAATGTGATAAAATACCAATTCTGACGGTGAACAGTTCCAGTTCAAAAACCAGTCCATCAATATGTGTTTCAACAGCACCAACTAGCCTTTTATCGCCATCTCCATCACCATTACTATTGTTATCGTCTCCTCCATCTACTTCTTTGAGTCCAAGAACCACACCACCACCAGTTCTCACCTCCATTTCACCATCAATCGTTCCATCAGCACTGAAATCGACAAGAAAATCTCCATCTCCAACGTTAATAAACGACGATCAAGATGATTCATCCGTGTCATCGACGCCAAGTAGCCACAGTAGTTGCAACGAAAGTATTTCAACAAGAAAAACTGGATCGCGACAAACATCAGATAGCAAACAACAAAATTTAACGCCAAGTATTTTAACAACGCCAACATCGAACGGTTTAACGATAACAGCGATTAATCAAACGGGGCAAAAGCAAATATTTATGGCTAAACAATTAGGAAATTTGAAGAAGTATCAATGTGGTCTATGTGAAAAAGTTGTTACAAATATTCAAATACACGTTCGACGTCACACAAATGATAAGCCTTACCCATGGTGAATATTTTCAACTGTTAATTAACATCGTTCAAACTATTTTATTGTTTCTTTTCAGTGCATATTGTGAGAAAAGATTTACAAACTCGGGTGATTTACAAATTCATACAAGAATACACACTGTAATGTACCATTATTCTAATTATTTGTGTATTAACTCTCAGTACCTTTCATTATCACTTGTCTAATGCTTTAGAACTTTAGTAGCTTTTTAAAGACATTTTTTAACTTTCGTTTTATGTTGTTTCTAGGGAGAAAAGCCTTATAATTGTCCACTATGTTTAAAAAGTTATCGAACAATTGGAAATTTCAACAGTCACGTTAAAACCCATGATAGTGGTGTGCGTCCACATCGTTGTGATATTTGTAATTTAACATTTGATATACCAAAAGATTGGTATTCACATTTACGTTCGAGTCATCGTTCATTAATACCGGCAAACTCATCAATATCACCCACATCAACAACTACTACTGTAACGACAACAAATGCTCGAAATTTTCTAAAAAATTCAACATCAACTTCCGGTGCAACAACGACAATAACTCAATCATCATCGGTTCAAAAAGAAACCGAAATATTTTTTCCAAATAAAGTGAAATTAGAACCAGTCGATAAATGCGATGAATTGAATAATGTTAGCGATGAAGAAGAGGAGCAAGAAGAAACAGACGATGAAGAAATCCATGATTTAGAGGATGAAAATCAACGATATGATGAAGAACCATTAAATTTTTCAATTAAAACTGATCATAATGATATTTTACTAACATGTAACAATAATATGAATGACAATCGTCATAAGCGAACAAAACGCACATTATCAAAACTGGAACCAAATAAAAAAATGAGAAAACCATCATCACAATATGATATCATTGATGATCAATCAACAAAAAATTTATTAACAGCACCATTAATTCATTCCTAGTCATTTCTTTCTCTCTTTTTTTTCATTCATTTTTTTTTATTCGTGTCTTATCTAATGAAAGTGTGAACAGTATTTAATCAAAAAATAGCGAGTTATTTTGTTGTTTTCTTTCTTGCCCTGTTATAACGAACAATTCGTCATGTCTTTCTTTGTTGTCTATTTTTTACATGTGATTTGCTCTCTTATTAATATTGTTTTATCGATCTATTTTTAATGCCAAAACTATCGACATACACAAACTCCTATGTGATTTTGCAATATTTGTTGTTTGTTGAGAATGACCGTACGCAACTCTCTTTTTTTTCTGTACATTTTTGTTGTTTCTTTTTCATTGCATTCGGGTGACATAATTTAAATTATGTATTCATGTAAGATTAAACAGTATATTTGTTTTCGTGTTAGCTAGAATTAGGTTAGATTTTAGAGAACAGTTAACATATTTTATGACGTTCATACTTTCCTTTCATCAGTACGTTGCACATAGTCTATTTTATAGTCATTTATATTCCCTCCTTTCCCTATTCTGTAAGCTCAGTTGAAAGTACGTAAAAGATGCCTAAGAACAGAAAGATTGTGTATGTTGATTCTTTTTATTCTCGAATGAACCTATATATATATATATATCTATATATATTTTTAATTAAGAATGATTTCTTTTTCTTCGTTGTTCTGGTCAGTTTTATCCTGTTTTGGTTTTTACATAATTTAGAAAATAATAATTCAATATTTTTTATGTTCTATAAATTCAGATTGTACTTGTTTTTCTGAATTATTTTTCTCTAACCACAACCCTGTTTAATGCTTGAAATTTACTTTTTTAAGAATGAAAGATATATGTATGACGTTTTTTGACTTGAAGTTTAAGTCTTCGATTGGCGTATTATTCGTATGGAAATTCAAAAGAAACTTTTCCGATTTTGGTGCAAGGTTTCCAACAGCATTTGAAAATATGAGCCATTGGACTCCTACAGTTTATTTTCTTTCTTTATGTTTTGTGGTTTACCAGTGCCGCACACCTAGTCCGAGCGTGTGTCTGTTTTGTATTATGAAAAAATTCAAAGAATTGAGTTATTTTAATATATTCTCTACTTTTCTCTAAAAAAAGTTTCACTTTTTTTTCGAATAACACACACACGTATATCATCTAAAATTGAAAACTCTTTGCCGGTTTGTTGTGGCCTTCTATATTTTTTGTTGTTGTTTTTTACATATGATTCGGTGTTACATGTTCTTTTCTGTTTTTTTTGTTTTAAAATGATTCGAAGCACATGTCGTTATGTTATGTTCTGTATATATTTGAAACGATAAACAGATAAAGAAAAGAAACTTGAGTAATTTGGTCAAAAACTAGCTTTATTGAACTATTTGAATCAATACAAGGTTTCAAAGGTAGCAAAGTCAAAGTTAGGCCAAAGTGCGAGTATCAGTTGACTGGATGACTTTTGCAAATGTCCTTTATATTGTTCCTGTATCATCCGACTAAGGAAGTATATCCTGGTAGTTTACCTAAAGGAATAAATAGACATGTTTCCTACAGATTCAGTCTGCTAGAGTTCTTCATTGTTTGTTGTCTCGAGCCTATAAGCCCAAGTTCGTAATAATATATTTTATCCTGGGAAGAATAAGGGCGTTCTTCATTTCTCTCTTGTATTCCTTCACTTCTTTTTGTGAAATAACGCGATCATAACAGTTCTGAGATGAAAGTTTCATCATCCTGGTTATTTCAGTGTCAAATTTGATTTCTGACGTTTTTCACCAGACTTAGATCGATCAGAGAATCCTCAACTTGAGGACAATCAAAAGTAAGCTAATGTTGATTTTAGCTACTTATCACTTTCACGTGTAGCATACCCTTACTAGTATAATTTGAAATAAAATATTTAAAGAAAATGTTTCGATTTATAGTAAAAGGCAATAGAGAAAAAATAAGTAAAAGTAGAATATGTAAATACAAAAAAAAGAAAAGGTACACATATATCCTTCTAAAGCAAAGACAAAAAAAAGTACAAAAACCGCATATATTCAACATACTACGTTTCGAAATTTTTCTGGTAAAAACAAAAAATATCACGATAGAAATTTAATCTTCTCCTATTAGTTTGCTTGAAGCGTTATATCTTCGAGTAAAAATCTTTCATAATTTTTTCGAAGAGAAAAAACTTTGCTAACCACCTTATAGTATCTCTAATTATAAAACAAACTATTTGAGATAGATAGAGCAAGAAATAAGCCTAGTTTTTGTTCGCCAATTCTAATCACAGAAGTTGTTTATAAATTGGACGTGTTATCTCAGATGAAAATGATGATAAGAATCAAAAATAATTAAATAGTACACTAAAAGTTAGCATTTTCATCGCCAGTTTAACTGATATAAGATATTGAGTTTAGTTTATGCAAGCGTCTTACGCACACTAGAACAACGTAGTTTAAAATACTCTGAAAAAAGGTGACTTTGGAACCATTGTGAAATTTTTTTGTAGAAAACCCTAAAATGTCTACTAAATCCAAAATGATTTCGTCTAGTTTCACTTTTTCGAAACCTTGAAAAGGATTTAAAGAAGATGAAATATCCTTTTGGGTTTTCTAAAAAACCCAAAAGGTTTTTTCAAAATAGCACCAAACTCAAAGGTTGGAGTTATTTTTTTAGAGAACAATGTCTAGTCTAATAAATGCAATCTAGATATTTGTCAAAATAAATTTCAAATTTATTTTTTCCATAGCAATATATCTTTCGTTGATATATCATTCATTTGTTATGTTTACAAATAAAATTTAGCAGGCAATATCACATGTCATTAAGCGCAAGGTATAGTCCAGTAGTGTTAACAGAACAACTTTGGACAATCGTTTTCGAATATTGTCGTCAATTAAAACTGAGTACTCTTATGAAAAGTATAGCAGAGTCAAAGTAACAATGAAACAGTAAATCACACAATTTCTATCTGGTTATTATCTACAGCTCTAAAAATAGCTTTTCTTCTCTTACTACCAACAAATTTTTCATATCTTTCAATGTACCGGTAAAAATTATTTGGCTCTCATATTTTTCCGGTTTAAAGCTCCAAAAAATGCTAGATTCTTGTAGTCGCACAAAAACTCTATATTGTCTCATTAACAAGTTTAGCGAGCTGAAGTTCCTATGACAGGTTATATACAGTGATAGATAATTAAAGTTCAAAATGAGCTCTGTTGGAAGAATGCAAGACTATCACTGTTTGATATATATATACTGACTACTATGTTTTAAATCGTTCTCGTTCTTCGGGGTGTTTCCCAAAATTATTTTCTATTGTTGTTGTAGTTGATGTTACCATAATTGGTCTTGATGTAGGAAATAAATTTTGTTGTTCTGGTAATAAATGATCTGTATCTGTACGAGATTCTATGTATTTTTTTTTAAAACCATTGTATAACTCTCTGACAATATCTCCAACAATTAAATCTTGTCCATTTCGTGCTATTAAACGTAATGCAAAACAACCATCTTCTTGTAAATAATTTTGAACAAATTCATTTGCTATTATTTTATCATTATCTGATTTATCACCATCTGTTGTTGAACGGGTCATTGCTAGTTTTTTTCGTACATAATATGTCCGACTATCAGCACGAATGACACGTGAGAGCCACGCTAAAAGATCGCCTATATTGAATGCTGCTAATAATAAGATCCAAAACCATAGAGCTAAGAATATTTTTTCATTAAATAAATTAATTGGTAGTACACATTGTACCGTATATCGATGAACAATACCAATTTCTCGAATATGAAAATCACATAATGTTACTCTTGGAAAACGTTTACTTTCACCCCAATCTTGACCGCGAACAAATTTATTCAGTACTTCAAATCCAAATAGATGATAATCATTACCAAGAAAGGCATTTAACAAAAATATTTGTATCACAGAATTTGTAAAATATAACAATTTAACAACCGTGAATAATACAACAAGATAACAACTTAAACGCCGACTTGTCCAAAAAAAAATAATTCGACCAAATTTTTTTAATAAATTTTCCGGTTGTTTCTTACCGTGTGTTAAATTATGTTGGGCAGATAATGGTGTCAAACGAGAATTATAACGATTTTCAACATAATGTCGAATTGAACCCACAATATACTCGATTGTTTTTTGTTTTTCTTCATATTTTTCAGCTTTTTCTTGATCCATAGCAGCACCAACTAAATTTTCAATATCAAGACCTGATTTATTATTTAATGTACGCCATAACATACGAGGAAAATAGAAACATAATGCCATAAACATTAAAATAAATGGTGACCTAAAAACAAATTCGAGCTTTAAAATAGTTTTATCATATAGAGAACCAAGTGACAATTTACCATTGATAATATTTTAACATTTCTAGAATAAATGAAGAATAAATATTGTAAAGCTTATATAAATAATGAATATAGAAATCAATAACATACTTTCATATCTCCTTGTTTCTGAATGTGGTATATCATCATTCATTGGCACATAATACGTGTTCATTATCCAGCATATATCATTGGCATATTTTTCATAACTACCAGTAAACTGTGCTGGAACCTATTAAAAAAAAACCATTTTATTTATAAAATATTATATTAGATAACTACATACCCAACAACTAATTGGCGATCCAAAATATTGTTGAGTTGTAACAATACCAGCAAAAACAAGAATGGCCGTCACAGTATAACGGTGATTTAAACGATCGATAAATACATCATCATTATGAGCTGAATGATGTTTCCCAGCTCGAAACTTTTGAGCAATATCAAGTAAATCCATTATAGAAAATATAAATTGACTAACAACAACAAATATACTGAATTAAAATTGTTTTATCTTCATATAGATTACAGTTAATTATTAATTGTAATTAGTATCATTCAACAACTATCTAAAAGGATGAAACATTTTTCTCTTGTAAAACTCACTTATCATACATATGAGTATAAACAAGAACTTCAGAATATAAAGTCGTGAGAATACATTCTCTAACATTCTAAGAATCGACGATGAAGTCAGAAATCGGTTAGAAAATTGTTTATAAAGCTCGTGTGAGGGACTGTTAAATCCTCTTTGTTCATGACATACTGTCATTTTTATTAACTATTTCATTTTAATTACAGAAATATATTATTTATAACAGATCACATTTTATTACTGATTGTTTAATTGACATACCCAGGTTGCTCATCTCAATCAGATATTGTTCGACATACCATCTTTCATTTTAAAAGTAGGATATAGGACTTCAATACTCGTTTATACAACAAAAGTTGTTTCCTCGGAAATGTACTTGCCTAAAAAAAAACTGAGTAATTTTCATGCACGTGCTTTTTTCACTCCAGTAAATTCTTGATTTTACATTATAATAGTGAATTTTTCTAATTATCAGACAAACGTGATGGTGACCTCCATTTGATTTGTCGGATTTTTACACATGTTATAGGATATGATGGATTGAATATAATCAGAAATTATTTCGATATAAATTCCTTCTAGATTGCTGTTCACTTCAACTTTTACAACTAGTCAGAGCTTAATTCAATCTTTCTACTTTTTTTTATC